ACTGGACGAAACACAAAACAAAGACAGTCAGGGGACTATTAAGTGTTCTCAGCAGGTACTTGGGAAAATATTATTATGTGAGGCGGGGTGTTTGGTAGTGAGGCGGGCAGGAATTAAAATCGAATTATTAATTTGCTACGGCACAACCTTACGACTGAGGATAGAATTTCATCCGTGAGAATAAGGTGAGATAGCCATGTAATGGACACGTGTGGACACGTGTGCACACGCACTTGGATTATCAATTACTCGGAACGTCAGAAGCTGGTATACCGATTAATACAGATATCGACCTTTCACGTATTGGGATATTTACACGTGAACTATAACAATCACATGAATTGCGTGAGCTGTCCATTTCTGAAAAGAAGATATGGTCATTGTTTTAAATTCTGCTTGTGTTTCCACGGGAATATGACATCAATCTTAAGTTCTGACGGAAGGGCAGATGAATGGATAGTGTTTCTACACAGATAACATATGTCGGATTTCACACGTAACATAAATCACATTGACTCACCTTGAGCGATTGATTTGATCGGTTTGAGTGAGTGAGTTAAATTTAACGTCACATCGGCAATATTTCAGCTATATTGTGACGAGTGATCGGTTTGAGACAAAGTATACAATTTTTATGGAAACCAGGCTCCCGAAGGATCGAAGGGTCTTCTAAATGTCAGTTGCAGTATCGGAATTCGTGTCTAACGCTTACACTTCTAATAAATTGATTGCATAATAACCGCTATACATTACTGTAAATCATGAAATTGTGCGAAAATTGTAAGTGTCCTTGCGGTGCATTTGTCTCTGGCCATATTGGAGTATATTGTCATGTCAGGTGCACTGCACATGGACAGAAAGAATGACATGTATACTAAGGCTCAATAAACCATTGTGGTCGACACAATTTTCATGACGCATTAATTTCATGATTTACAGTGTACCACGTTAATGTCATGAGGACTACACGTCAACCACTGATGGGTCCTTATTGCAACGGCCCTTACTGCTCCGTCATACTCACACATTGTGAAGCAACGACTGTTGAGTATCAGTTGGTGATGGAACTGATCAGTTGGTGATTGAACTGATCAGTTGGTTTTATGTCGCTCTCCTTTTTTTTCCTGGGGCACGGGTGGGTGCCACGTCGTCTAAGGATTGTGATTGTGGGTTCGAATCCCGGTTCGCCCCGATTATGTTTCTAGGTTTGTCAGCACCATACCCATGCTCGCGGGTTTTAAAGTGGTAAATATCTGAGACCTACATCACTTCGGGCTTTCCTCCCATATCAAGTTGACATGCCGTGATATAAATTACTTAAATACTGTTAAAATCGGCGTTAAAAATCACTCAATCACTGTTATTGTCCTGGAATTAGCTCAACGAACAATCGAATATGGTCAAAACATTGCATCCACAACGGGATTCCTTTCCATAAGGACTGCCTCCGTGGTCAAGTGGTAGAGCCCGGAGAGCGGAAGGCCCGGGGTTCGATCCCCGGCCGCGTCATACCAAAAGACGTGAAAAGATGGTACTTGTTGTTACCCTGTCTGGCGCTCGGCATTAAGGGGCTAAAACAAGGACTGGTCGGCTCGGAGTCAGTATACTGTGTCTGAGTGGGGCATTTATGTTAAACTGCGGCATGGTATCTCAGTGAGCTAGCACTATAAATCAGTCCGGACTAGTGCAAGCAGCCACACACACACGCACGTACATGCACGTCGCTATATAAGTGCAATGATCTTGGACGCGACGTTAAACCCCATTCCACCTCACCACCTTTCCATAAGCATAAAAAAGCAGAGTCCACTGTAGGATTATCTATCATAACAATGCTGGACAGCGAGGAGGGGCTCACAGGGCAGCGTGAAAAGAGGACGCGATGTATTATGTTATACCATGTTTATTGTATGTTGGTTGCAGCTGGACATAAATCACTTGTTGTTAAGGGCTTGAAGGTAGAGATCAGGGGACCTCAACCATAAATAGATTGCATATCTCATTCGTCTGCGAGTTCGTGACAGACGTATGTGCAAATATTTGAAATTGGATCGCGACCAGGTTGATAAGTAAAACGTTGACAGGTACGCTCGGTATGTTTTCTACATAGTCCAGCAGACATAATGTGATGTGTAGTGATATCAAGTCATGTGCAGAGGTCATGTGGTGTGACCATCAGTATCCGTACTTGGTTTCCATTGGTCTAAACACTAGTCTTGCTTCTGTATCTGTAGTTAGGGAGTGCGTGTAGTTTCATTGTTGTCATTACTACGCCTCTCTCTCTCTCTCTCTCTCTCTCTCTCTCTCTCTCTCTCTCTCTCTCTCTCTCTTCTCTCTCCCTCTCTCTCTCTCTCTCTCTCTTTGTGTACCTAGCTATCCCCTACTCAATGAGGTCTTGCATCTGTAGGTAGGGAGTGCGTGTACTCTCATTGTTGTCATTGCTTCGCCCCCCTCTCTCTCACTCAAATACACGGTTGAATCTCACAAGTGAGTTGTATTTAGTTTGTCAGTGCAAAGATGTGAGTTTCAGGTTTGCCGTAGCCCTAAGCAAGATGTTCTCCGCCTTAGTATCTGGTTAATTTGTCATGAAGAGAAGGTGCCAGAAAAACATTCGACGTTTAAAAATAATCTTTAACTTGTTATCTGTTATCGATCCAAGATTCGGATACTGATTTTGTTCTACTGAATGTTTTCATTTATATGAAAAATTTCATTGCTACTTGTTGCGAAAAGTATATATGAAAGTACATTGTTAGCTTCCTTAATTCGCCAGGAGTGTTCTTGAAAGACATTATCCTACAACTTGTAGCCCCCGATGAGGCAGAGGATACACAATACCTCATTCTTACACTCACTCACTCATACATTCATTCATACACACTCCCTCATTCATACACACATTCACCCATTCACGAACACAGTCGACCCGTGAAGATCCGGGATAGAATAGGTCTTCATCAATCCATTCTTGCCGTAACAGGCGACTATGCTTGTCGTAAAAGGCGACTAACGGGATCGGGTGGTCAAGCTCGCTGACTTGATTGATGCATGTCATCATATCCCAATTGTGGGGATTGATGCTCATGATGTCAATCACTGGATTGTCTGGTCCAGACTCGATTATTTATAAGCATCCATGGTATAGTTGGATTATTGCTTGGTGCAGCGTTAAACAACAAACAAACAAACAAACAAAACACACACAGTCACTCATTCATACTCACACTCACTCATTCATACTCACACTCAGCCATTCATTCATGCATATACGCATTCATTCTTACACTCATTCATGCATACACTCAGTCATTCTTACACAGTGACTCATTCATTTTAAAACTCATTCATGCATACACTCATACATTCATTCTTACACTCAATCTTCCTTACACTCTTTCATTCTTACACTCATCCATTCTTACACTCATCCATTCTTACCCTCAATCTTCCTGACACTCTTTCATTTTTACACTCAATCTTCCTTACACGCTTTCATTTTTACACTCATCCATTCTTACACTCATTAATCTTATGTTCATTCCTACAATCATTCATTCTTACACTCAGTCATTCTGTCACTCTTTCATTCCTAAACTCATTCATTCTTACATTCAGTCATTCTTACACTCATCCATTCTTACATTCATTAATCCTTACATTCATTCCTACAATCATCCATTTTTACACTCATTCATTCTTAAGCTCATTTATTCTTACGCTTATTCATTCTTACGCTCAATCACCGCCTCCGTGGTCTTGTGGTAGAGCGTCCGCCCGGAGAGCGGAAGGTCCGGGGTTCGATCCCGGGCCGCGTCATACAAAAAGACGTTAAAAGATTGTACTTGTTGTTACCCTGTCTGGCGCTCGGCATTAAGGGGCTAAAACAAGGACTGGTCGGCTCGGAGTCAGTATACTGTGTCTGAGTGGGGTATTCATGTTAAACTGCGGCATGGTATCTCAGTGAGCTAGCACTATAAATCGGCATCAGTCCGGACTAGTACAAGCAGCCACACACACACATACACGTGCATGCACGTCGCTATATATGTGCAATAATCTTGGACGCGACGTTAAACCCAATTTCACCTCACCTCACCTCACCTTACGCTCAATCATTCTTACGCTCATTCATTCTTACACTCAATCATTCTTCCATGCACTTATCCTTACACTCTTTCATTCATTCATTTGAGGTTGTCTTGAATACTTGGTCATGTTCAGATGTCAGGAACAAACTGCCTGGCAGTCACAATTTTCACCACACAGTGATGACAAAATATCCTATTTCGTGGTAATTTGGCAAACCTAGCTCTTTAGGTGTTACAAAAACTATATTTTTCAAAGATCGTAGTTTAATGTTCTATTATTCCTGGAACCAATGGCTTCGTTACATGCCCCACTGTGCCCCGATGTCTGAGACTGATTGCGTGCCACTGTGTCTGGATGTGTGAGACTTGATTGCGCGCCACAGTGCCTCCGATGTGTGACACTGATTGCGTGCAACTGTGGCCCGATGTGTGACACTGATTGCGTGCCACAGTGCCTCCTATGTGTGAGTGTGATTGCGGGCCACTTTACCTCAATGTGAGACTGATTGCGTGCCACTGTACCCCGATGTGTGATTGATTGCGAGGCCCTGTGCCCCGATATGTGAGAGTGATTGCGTTCCACTGTGCCCAGATGGGAGAGTGATTGCGTGCAACTGTGGCCAGACGTGGGAATGATTGCGTGCCCCTGTGTCCTGATGAGACCCCGATGTGTGACTGACGCGTGGTACTGTACGTGCCCCGATGTGTTAGACTGATTGCTTCCCACTGTGCCGTGAAGACATGGACAATGTTGATGCGTTCAGTCTCTAGTTTGCCTTGATTATAAATACCTGCCATTAAACAACCGGCGTTTTACAACAAACACCGACTACATCGTTACCGACGTTACGTAGGCCACGTTTCTACTCGCAGGTAGGCGTCCGTTATTAACTTCCTGTGTTTTCGTTCCAGTCAACGCCGCCAAGCTCTGCACCAGCAATGCCACATGGTTCCAGGACCCGGGTACCCACCAGGAATGGACTAACTACACCACGTGCGTCGGCATGGACGTGAGTACCAGCATCTAGTTCCTGCATCCACACAGTACCTCGGGCAGCACTGGGATGGTCATATTCCATGTTTTCAATGCAGTCCCTTTTCACCATCGTACAATGCAACATGGCGAATGAGTCTGAGAAAATGTATGAATTACGTTTACACTTTGATACAGAGCACATCTGTATAAACATCGCGACTGCCTTCATATTGTGTTGTGTAATTTTAATGTGATAGTGACGAGAACTAGTGAAACTAGCAGATCGTAGTTGTTAAACACTTCGGGGAACCCACGCTTATTGTATTGAGATACCTAGGTTCTAACACAACGCTGTGCCATTTACTACAGTGCAATCAAATAAAACTATCGGAATAATGCTTTGTCCAATTCCTTTGTACTACACTCCCTTGAACCTTTTTTACACATCATAGATATCCCTAGAACAAGGGGGCACAGGTGGCCCAGTCGTCTAAGGTGCCGCGATTCGCTGTGCAGAGTTGCGTCCCTTGGGCACGCCAGAAACCTATGATTGTGGGTTCGAATCCCGGTTCGCCCCGATTATGTTTCTAAATTTGTCGGCACCATGCCCGTTGTCGTTTGTTTCATCGAAGTGGTAAACGTCTGAGACCTGCATCACTTCGGGTTTTCCTCCCACATTAAACTGGCACGCCGTGATATAACTCGAATACTGTTAAAAGCGGCGTTAAACCCAACTCACTCACTCACCTTGTATAACAGTCATTATGACTTTGAGTGAGTGTGTTAAGAGTATAAGTCACATCGTCAATGTATCATCCATATCGAGATCAAATTATACAATACATAAATTTAGAAAGAAAAACTGTAGACAAAGGACAGTAAAAACAACTAGAATATCACAGATATAGGTTTAAAGTTGGTATATAACCATAAAATGTGACTATTCATAACAAGACAATATATAAAATAGGGCTATATATCACCACCAACTAAAGTGAGGCCGCCACACTGGACCAGTACCTTAGCTACCTGCATGGACCACCATCCCTTAGTCACTGGTAATTATGGGGAAGGTTTAGCCATAGATTATAACAAACTGGTGGACATAAAATACTTTGAATGACGTGGGCTTACCTACACTCTCAGGGAACAATACGTTTACGCTCCTTCAACCCCAATCAATGATACAGCCACCAGTATGACCTAGAGATTGACTCGTACATAATTTAGATGAATAGATGAGACATGTTTGAATATCCTGTCTTGATGTGGAGTGATCCGAGAGGAGCTTTTACTAATATTTCCTAAAGAACGGTCGATTTGTTTGATGCTTGTTAAAAGAGATTGGCCTCACAAGAAAATGGGAATGTCGAACTAAAATGGGTGAGAAATGATTTAGTGCCGCTTCAAGCAATATTCCAAATGCGGATGATTAGACCCATATAAAGAATCGAACCGGCTGTTCAGCGTGTCGAACCAACAACTAGACTACACCTCATCCAGCGCCTATAGCGATCGGCGACATTCGCTGCCTTCTAAAACAGTGCGTCGTCTCGGCGCCTTTGTTCTCTGCAGAGTTTCCTCCCTTCGATGTGCCAGGAACCTATGTCCTCGGGTTCGAATCCCGGTTCGCCGTGATTATATTTTCTAGATGTGCTCGTGTGTTTCACCACATTGGAAGACATTTGAGGCCGGCATGACTTCGGGGTTTCCTCCCACATTAAGCTGACACGCCGTGATATAACTGGGATATCGTTCAAAGTGGCGGTAAACAAAACTAACTCACTCAAAAACAGTGACATAACGTGTGCTATGCTTTTTACTTGAAGAAATTGCTTTCAAATGACAGACAGACAAGCTGACATAACGGCTGAGCAATACTTAATGATGAGTTACCCACGAGACCATGATTTATTTGACAGGGCGACTGGCAAATTAGACTGAAACGTCTAAAACATCAATAACTGCCAGGGTTGGTTTCAAAATAGCATCGCTACAAACATCAGCTGCGAAAGTGCACGATAAAGCATAAATCATATTTACCATGATTCAATGTTTTTCATCGGTTAACAGCATTGACCACTGATTTCTCACTGACCATCAACGAGGCAAGTCGTATCTTAACATCCCTGAAAGCAATTTTCTCAAAATAGTTGCGCTACTAAATTGACGATAAATTAGGATTTGACACATGCTGAAGTGATACTGATCTTCGAAAATGCTGTGGTAAGCAATAACGGTTTATGGTACGCTTTGTCAATGACCTAGAACAAAGACGAGTACAGGGCGCAACTGTCAATATGACTAGACTGTATCCCAGTTTAACCAGTTCTGTAGTCTATTGCATTTACTTCCTGGATTCGATTTTGAGGGATCGAGTGACCATCTATAAAACTCACTAGACATTATCGCTTGTTCCTGTAAAGCATTGTTGACTTTCCTTTTAGTTAAATATATTTGCTGAAAATATAGGCAGGAATAACCAGGCGTGACACTGAATGTTTTAATCTTTTACACAGCCGCCACGAAATAGAAAATATAATCTCACTTTATCAAGTCCGTCGTACCGATAATATCATGAGTGTGTGTTTATGGATCAGTTGTGTGTATACCAACTCAATAGGCCCTTGAAGATCCGGGGTAGAATAGGTCTTCAGCAACCAATGCTTGCCGTCAAAGGCGACTATGCTTGTCGTAAGAGCAACTAACGGGATCGGGTGGTCAGACTCGCTGACTTGGTTGATGCATGTCATCGTATCCCAATTGCGTGGATCGATACTTATGATGTCAATCACTGTATTGTCTGGTCTGGCATCATCATTATTATTTACAGATTAACATTTAGCGTGACATTTCGAAAGCGAGGTCCGCATATTTGCCATGTTTTGCCTGAATCTTGTCAATTACATTTGTGTCAAAAGGGACAGAAAATTGAATGATATGAATGATCTCAATGGATTTATCAAAATCGACAAGATCAGGTTTGTTGGCCTGGATAGGTCTGAGGCTGTATAAGGGCCTATTCCAGAGAATTTCCATGACACCCTCTACATATTCCGGGTCGTACCATGGATGGACCTCTGAGTCAAAACCACAAGCATGGCGAAGACGGTAATAAAATGACCGAGTCACTCCATCATGTCGTTTAAGATACTGGGATTGTGCATCCACTGACAATGTTTTGGACAGCCTCGTTAAATTCATTGCATACCTACTTTTCATATTTTACATTTTGATTCAAAATCACACATTGACGGTTTCGAGTGGGAAGAGACTGGTCCTGAGCAGCAAACAGAAAGCCATCTGTTTCACTTTTCAGGCCAGACGACTTCATCCAAGCGAAGGACTCTGCAGGGTTGCTGACCCTCTCAACACACTGCACACGTACTTAAGGCAGTGGTCGTTGAGATAGCCTCTTCCTGAAACACTGAGTCTGTGTTCCGTTCTTTACATCTGTTCTGTTACTTATTAAATAAGCAGTCCGTCAAGTTATCGTTGACTTCAATTTGGTTTTGCGTTCATTGAGGTGCAAACGTAAAAATCAGTGTGCACATTTTGTGTAAATCCGATAAGCAGGTTTACACAGTGTGCACGCAGGTTTTAGTAAATTTACGCAAATTTTGCACCTATATGACCGAAAGTGAGCTAATGTCGTGATACGTTTGTCCTGTGTCCGTCATCAGCCGTGCTTCGTAAACATCTCCTCAGAAACCGCTGGACCATTGAGGCTGAAACTTCCTAAACTACGGTTATAACGAACACGCTTATAACGAACTGACGGATATAACGAACTTACTTTTTTGGTCCCGACTATTTGCTGTAGTTATGCTGTATATATGCTTATAACGAACTACGGTTATAACGAACTAAAACTAGTAGTCCCCTTGAGTTCGTTATAACCGTACTTTACTGTAATTGTTTCCACCAATGATGACACTCCAATCTCTCCAACACTCGTTCTTGTTTTTTGTTTGTTTAACGCCGCTGTCAGCGATATTCCAGCTAAGTGCCGGCGGTCTGTAAATAATCAATCCTGGACCAAACGATATAGTTATTAACATTGTGAGCATCGATCTACACAGTTGGGATACGATGACATGCATCAGAAAAGTCAGCGAGCATGACCACCCGCTCCCATTAGTCGCCTCTTACCTAAAGCATAGGCTGCTGAAGATGAATTCTAGCCCGGATGTGCACGGGTCATTCTTTGTACTCCTAGCATTATGAATAATCCCATTGCTCTACCTTGCACTGTTATGTTGCGTTAAGCTATAAGATTTGGTCAGCCACCTTGCTGGGGGTGTTATGGGACGCGAAGCCCAAGTTCAAGCAACCGTCATCCACGTCAGCATGAAAAGAAACGGCAAATTCACACCCCTGTAAACATGGATGGATTCGCCCAGTTAGCATCCAAGCCCATTGCACTTCCACGGGTGCATCCCGTTTTGGCCTACGTCCCATTTGGCCTACGTCCCATATGGCCTAAAGAAACAGAAATTATCTTTCCCATTTGGCCTACCACAGATTATATTAAACAACCTACACCCCTATTGACAAAAATGGTTTGGTTTGAGCTTAATTAGCTCTTGTTATTTCACACAGGCTTCTTCAGTATGTTCAGCCACGGAGATGTGGTCGACCCGGAGACAATACAAATAGACTTTGAAAGTTCAGGACGTATGGTTCGAAGCTAAGCTTGCGTGCCTGCTAACTTGAGCGTATAAAAAACATCCTTGGGTTTTATTACATGATAACCTCATCAGGGATTAACCTCATCACATCAACAGAAATACAGCATTAAAGTTGATGGTTGGTTGGTTTGTTGTTTAACGCCGCACTCAGCAATATTCCAGCTATATGACGGCGGTCTGTAAAAAATCGAGTCTGGACCAGACAATCCAGTGATTGATATCATGAGCATCGATCCACACAATTGGGATCGATGACATGCATCAACCAAGTCAGCGAGCCTGACCACCCGATCCCGTCAGTCGCCTTTTACGACAAGCGTAGTCGCCTTTTACGGCAAGCATG